GGGGGGGGGGGGGGAGACGGATGACGGAGGACGTACCCGAACCACCTCAGTAGCATTTTTTAGATGACGCGAGCCATCGTCGCTATGTTGTCGCAGCGAGCGCGGCCTGCAAGTGCTGGTGCAAGTGAAGTACATCAACTTCGCCTCGAGGTAGGCAGTTCACACCCGCTAAGACAACTACATCGCCGGGATATCGTAGATCACCCAAGGAAAACCGTTGGGCTAGTTACTGCGGCCACCGCAGATCTTCACATGTGTAAATTCATAGGTATTCTGGCAGATTTTGAATAATTCATATTGACCCAACCGTGAAGAACTCGGTGCCTCGGTGGGATTCGAACCCACGCAGTAAGGGGCTACTGAAGCCTGCCCCTTACTGCGTGGGTTCGAATCCCACCGAGGCACCGAGTTCTTCACGGTTGGGTCAATATGAACATGTGTAAATATATAATTCGTGACATCGTGAAGCCTGATTCTATCAGACATGATTGTAGTCATACAACCATGCACCAACGTACACATTACAAAGCACTTCACGCGAGATGTCGTATGGACGTTTGTTTGCTAACCGTTCCGTCCACATTCACAACATATCAGAACTTGCATGAAAAAGGTATAAGTTCCACCAGAAAATGCGCGTCAAAGTTTAACTCGTAGTTTTTTTTGTACAGAACTGTCCCAGACTGGTTTCTCAAAAAATCTACATTTTCAGAAAGTTAAGTTATAATGCAAGAAGTCAAGAGGATTCACGAATCCCATGCTTACAGAGTTTACTAAAACCAAAATACTAATTTCAGGCGGACGTAAACGCCCTGTAAGCAATTAACTTTCCTGTATAGTTTTCTAGGAACCAAGGTTGAATTTATGGAAGCATCGAAGATAAATTGGTAAAATGCACACCACTCAAATAGTAATTATTTACAGAAAGTAATCTGGACAGGACCCCGAAAGCAAGCACACTGGCGATTGCTCGTTAACTTGGGGCTGTATTTTTTGTATAGTATAGTACAGTATATTTAGGGTCATAGACAATGAGAAGACGAGGTGGCGAGCATACGTAACTTTCGACAAATTCTCATCGGGCCAGTACAGCTATATGGGAACGGGGTAGGAGAAAAAACATGTCAGTGATAGGAGAAATCGATTAAAGTTCGCCTTAAGACACAGGCGGGTGTGGGAATGTGGGGGAGGGGGTGGGGGTGGAATTGGAAACTCAGTTCGAGAACCTATGGAACCACACTTATGATCTAGTGTCCGCTTCCACAGACAGTATCCAACACTTTAAATCAACATTGGTGAATTGCAGTTATCATTACCTGAACAAGGGACCAAAAAGTCGGGGATTGCTGACAAAAGCACATATGGAAAAGTTAAAAGAACTTCTAGAGAACCAAGATATCTTGGTAACTAGACCGGACAAAGGAACAGGCGTCACTACAATGAACACATCGGACTACGTAGCGAAGATACAGTCCATATTATCAGACCAGAAGAAGTTCTAGAAGGTAGACAAGGAAAAGGATTGCACGGAAGAAGTAGAGGCGAAACTGACTGACTGTCTAAGAAGGCTCCACACAGTGGGTTACATAAACGACCGTGACCTCGAACACATCCTACCAGTCGACACACATATCCCTCGACTATATGGCCTACCTAAGATCCATAAGAAAGGCCTGCAAGTTCGTCCGATTTTAGACATGCGAAACTCCGTATCATGCGATAGCAAAGCGGCTAGCAGAGAAAATCAAGCCCGTACAGCATCAGCTAGCATCACGCAGCTACCGAGATACCTTTGAATCCATTGATGACATCAAAGACCTTAACGTCAACGGCATGATGATGTTCTTGCTGGACGTCTCATCACTTTTTACAAACGTTCCGTTTACGGAGACAGTCGAATGCACCTGCAAATTTCTGTCAACCAATCAGCAGGAAATAGGAATTCCGACGAAGACACTCAAGGAACTATTACTAAGATGCACATTAAATTTGCAGTTTCTATTCGGCAACCAACTCTATAGATAAGTGGATGGCGCTGTTATGGCCCCGCCCCTTGGACCTCTCCTAGCCGATGTCTTCATGGGCGAATTGGAGAGATTCCAACTAAGTGATCAGATCGATGCTTAAACATAACGGTCGCTATGATTATGATGATGATGACGATGATGACGATGATGATGATGATGATGATGATGATGATGATGATGATGATGATGATGATGATGATGATGATGATGATGATGATGATGATGATGATGATGATGATGATGATGATGATGATGATGATGATGATGATGATGATGATATCTTAACAATTGCCACTGCAGTAACCGACGTAGTTGCCCTCTTAAATGCTGCAAGTCAGGCATATCCGTCGACTAAATTCACGTTGGAAATCAAAACGGTCGGATTGCTCCCTTTCTTAGATGTTCTTCTAAGCAGGAGACCTGATGGGAGTGTCCGAAGAAGCGTCTATCGGAAGAAAACCTGGTCTGGACAATACACGAACTTCGCCAGTTTCTTACCCCTCCAACAAAAACGAAATCTAGTCCGATGTTTGGCACAAAGAACTAGAAAAATTTGCACAACAGATAGCATCGAGGAGGAGCTTAGAAAAAATTTGGACTTCCTTCGCAAAAACGGATATCCTGACAGATTTCTTGCTAAGAACATTGCCGAACGACCGAAACAACCCGCCACACCGACTGCCGAAAAGAAAACTTTGTTCCTCAAGGTCCCTTTCCAAGGGGACGCTGCGAGTGAACTGCTAAGGAGACGCCTTGATCAAGCTGTCTCGCGAACCTTCCCAGCAGCAGGGGTTCAAATATCATTCTCTACCAACCCTATTTTACGCGGGGAAGGTAAGGATATGTTGCCACCGCAGACCACCTCAATGTGCATCTATTCCTTTTTTTGCACCTGTGGGGCAGGTTATATTGACCGCACAAGTCGGCCAAGAATACGAGAACACCTTCCGGCATGGCTGGGAAAAGGCGAAACGAGGAGCATAAGCAGCGCCATTCTCGCGCATGTTGTCGATTCCGGACATCGCGTGGACCCCAACGAAGCTTTTCATTCGATTTTTAAGGTTCCATGGAGCTATCCGAAGGTACTGGGCCAACGCCTGTTAGCAATAGCAGAAGCGGCCGCCATCAGGTTACGAAAGCCAATCTTGTGCGCACAGAAGAACCACGTTCAGGCTCCGCGCGTACAGCGGTCGAAGGTTGACTAGTGCCGCAACTCTCCGCGCCCTTCCGCTCTCACGCCGCCCCTGACACTGACTGCTATTACCCCCAACTTCCTCGCTCACATTCCCAAACCTGCCTGTGTTTTAAGGCGAACATGAATCGATTTGTCTTATCACTGACATGTTTCTTCTTCTACCCCGTTCCCATATAACTGTACTGGCCGGATGAAAATTTATCAAAAGCTACATATGCTCGTCTTCTGATTACTGCTATGGGAATTTTCGCAACTCTAACAGACAATGTTCCTTGAGGACCCTATAGGAAACGGTACTTACAATACTAGTGTTAAATGCGCATTATCACAACGTATGACCAACCGTCATGATGAATCGAGGCAAAGAATTTTACAGATCAGCACAGGACTCACAAGCCAAAGCAGCGACAGATCGGCTGAGTAAACTGCTTAGAGAATATCGACATAAAAAACCGGCATAAAAATGTGATCACGGAGAATGAATGACATCAAATAAAGGCAACTGACACCGCTCTAGTTCAATTCTATGGTCTGCCAAAAATACATAAGGCAAATGTCCCACTGCGGCCGATTATTGCCCTAAAAGGCAGCCCCACCTACAATCTTGCAAAGTGGGTGTACTCAAAACTGAAGCTCCTCCAAGGCAATTCGACTACCTCAGTTCGATCAGCCTCCCAATTCCTCACAGACCTCCGAGGTCGACGAATCAAATCGGACGAAATCATGGTCTACTTCGACGTGATGTCCTTATTCATATCCATCCCACCAGACTTAGTCCCCAAGTTTTGCGCAAGAAACTTGAAGAGGCGTACGACGAGACCCAGAATGCAATCGAAATTGAACACCTCATGAAGCTGTTCGAATTCTGCTAACAAACGTTCTCCACTTTTGCTGGGAAGACCTATGAACAAATCGACAGAACTCCAATGGGCTCACCGGTCTCCGATTTAGTGGCAGAACTGGTCCTAAAGGAGATAGAAAAGATTGCCTTAATCTAAAATGAACCGGTGTTTTGGCGCCGTTACGTAGACGACACTTTCGTCATCGTAAAGAAGGACGTGCTGCAACATTTCCACAGCCTGCTCAACGCAGTCTTCCCTGATATAAAATTCACGAGGGAAGAAGAACAGAAACAGTAGTTGCCCTTCCTGCATGTGCATGTCAGACGAAATCTTAACGGTCAACTTGAAACAACGGTTTATAGGAAGGCAAACAACACTACATCGCTCCTCATTTTCACAGCAAACATGCGGTAGCCCACAAACGAAGCTGTGGGAAGACGCTCTTCAAACAGATTCAAACTCATTGCAGCAAACCGGAGGACTAGCACGTGAAGCCCGCTATCTCCCTAACCAGTTTGTCAAAATGGCTATCCGAGGGCATTCATAAGTTGCTGCCTATGCGGTCGTCCCCAGGGGAATTAAACATCAACACCACCGACAATATGGCATTCTCTGACATACAGCAACGACGTTACGGAAGCAACCATGCGCATTGCTGCGGAGCTAGGTGTTGGAATTGTACACCGCCGCAAGACCACCATGCGCAATAAGGTCACGAAAATTATAGACCGGTTAAAACCTGAGGAGCAATCTGGAGTAATGTATCACATCCCGTGCCAAAACTGGAAGCATGCTCGAATCGCGCATAAACGAACACAAGCTTACTGTGCGACGAGACGACGCAGTATCACAAGTGGCCGCCCACACCCACGAAATGGGTCACGAGTTTAACTTCGCAGCCACCGAAACAGTAGCCCACGCCGGAAATAAAAACAGACTGAGGAGTGCTTAAAGCCTGGGCCTCGGATGAGAACTCAGTCGATCGATTTATCGATCTGGCGCCGGCGTACAGAGCTCTACGTGGTCACCTCCAGTCTTGCGCCGTCGGTCGACGAGTGGCCTACATGCCCTATAACTGTCGCTTGTACTGCTGATGCTACTATCTCTGAAGATGGACTCCTGCACGGGTTCGAAAACTCGGGACGATAAACAACGTGTTTCGGTGCTCGACCCCTCTTCTTCTTCTTCTTCTTCTTCTTCTTCTTCTTCTTCTTCTTCTTCTTCTTCTTCTTCTTCTTCTTCTTCTTCTCCTTCTTCTTCTTCGCCACTTAAATGCACATTTTACTAAAATGTTGCCAGTAAGATATTGGTTTACGCAAAAGGTTTTTACAATGCGGAACTGCGAAGGGCGTGGCAAGCGGTCCTTTCCATGTAAACATGAAATTTTAGGTGCAGTTACATATAATCGTCACAAAATGCAGTCATTTACGTAGTTTTCGGGAGGATATTTCCTTAAACGTGTAGGAACGCGTTTCATACAGTGAGTGACCGATCTCATGAAATGTTGGCTGAAATTCTGAAATGCGTTTTCGATTAGGAAGGATTACTTGGTCGCAGTTGTAATAATGATTATCTCGCGGCAAAATCCATTAATATTTCAGGCTCGGCAAGATGTCTTCTTTTAAATGGACTTTTTTCAATCTCCTGTAGAAACTTTACTCGCCAAAAATGTCTACTTAAGTAGCATGCATTTTTCCCATTGATTTTCGGTGGTTTCGCAAATCCAAATATATCTCATAGAAACCATAAACAAAATATGCTTTCTTTCAGTCAGCTAATAGAGAATCACGTCTTCTTTATATTTTATGCTCAAGGAAGGAGTATAATTAGGTTTTAAAAAGGTTTATAATCATTAGATTTTTTAAGACCTCGAAATGCCCATTCACATAGCATCGTAACCGGCCGTTTACCACAGCTCCCCATGAAATGTAAAACATAGTCCGCATCCATTGCAAAATTTTATGGACTCTGTATGATATCTTTTTAATGACATAGAAAAATATGTGATTTTCTTTACGTTGAACGCATGCACCTTGTAGACTGAAATCACTAAGGACGAATGCTGCGAATGATCAGGCTCCAAATTATTCCGTAATTAGAAAACTCTTTTAACACCTAATTATACTCCTTCCTTGAGTAGAAAATATAAGGAGGACATGATCCTCTATCAATTGAGTGAAAGAAAGCATATTTTTGTTTGTGGCTTTTATAAGATACATTTGAATTTACAAGACCATCGAAAATCAATGGGAAAAAAATGTATGCTACTTAAGCAGTCATTTTTTCCGAGTAAAGTTTCTATAGAGGATTGAAAAGAAGTCCATGTAAAAGATGACATCCTACAGAGTCCGAAATATTAAAGGATTTTACCGAAAGATAATCAGTATTACAACCGCGACCAAGTAATCCTTCCTAATCGAAAACGCATTTCAGAATTTCAACGAGCATTTCATGAGATCGGTCACTCACTGTAGGGAGTGAAATCAGGAAATCTAGTTTATGGATGACTGCAGATAGTCCTGCAGTGAGGGTCTTCGTTTATCAAAGACCAAACGATCCAGCTGCCTTTTGAATAAAACCATTGTATCAGATGTCACTATTTCACTTGGGAGCGAGTTCCACGGTCGAACAACACGCTGATTGGAGGACAACTCCCTATGGCCTAGGCGTGTACGCTCCCGCTTGACCTTCTACGGATGACCGCGCAGGTGACTCATGGTCGTGAAATCAAAGGAGTCTTCAGCCTTGAGCGAACATTCATGCCCGTGGATAGTGCGGAATGTCCATAACAGGTCACACATCATTTGCCTATAGGATAGGGGGAACAAGTTTTGCTGAATCAGTCCTTCTGGATATGACAAAGTCCTGAGACCGTCCACCATTTTTGTCACACGTCGTTGCACCTGTTCTATGGCATCACTGTCTTTCTTCATCCAGGGTGTTCATGCTGGCATTCCGTATTCCAAATGCGGTCTTTCTTGCACCCCCTCTCAGCTTGTATTTTAAGGGAGGTTTAAAGCTTTTAGCTAGTGTTTAGTGGATTTGAGCAGCTACTCTATGTCCCAGTCTTGCCCTTCTAGATGTCTCTTCTTACTAACATGTAGAGACGTGCGCTATGAACCCAAGAGCAGCTGGGAGTCCTCAAAAATGAGCACAAGTGCAGATCACGCTTCACGAAAAATGGGCATCACTGAGCCATGTAGCAACTAAATCTTCCGTAGCATCAAATTCCCAATTTCAATAGTACCTTTTGTCCCTGTAAAACGACTGTGGAAAAATGAACTTGCCACTAATTTGAATTCTTTAATGTTGACAGTTTTTAGAGTGTGACTAGGGAAATAGCCTGGACTCGAGAATCACGGCTAAGCTTCAGACGGTGTCACCAGTGCCCTCTTACACTCCGAGCTCAAAGGGATCGATCAAAGGAACAATCAGTAGCCATATGTCTGGATCGTGGGTCGACATTCAAAATATCCTGGCAGCACTGACAACAGCAGTACCAGCAGTAATAGCGGAACTGAGGGGGAATTTAGAACCTGGAAATCTACCAGCTAGAATAATTGCGTCCAATAATTGACACCCGCCTCCCACCTGTGGCTCCCGAACCTGCACTCTGTCTAGCGGCCACAACCCGGTAACCGCCTCGACCGATGGATTAGACTAAGTGAGGGTATCCGTGTGTGTATCACCACACACGTAATTCTGCCCCTCTCCGCCGTTGCTGGTCGTAGGAATCATCGCATCGCCACCTTCAATATGAGGCTTCGTCTACAATCCTGCAGGAGGCCACAAGGTAAGTGGTCGCCCAGGTGAGCTGAATACCGCTTACCTGTTTTTGCCTGCTCACCCTTGCATTACAGCACTCAGCAAGCTAACGACCCAGTAGCTGGAGGACCTGCTTCATCCTCCTCCTGCGCAACTTTTTCCGCCCTTCTCCCCCCTCCCCCCTACGGTCAAAATTCATACGACGAGGGCGAAATAAAATCACGTAAGCAGCCCAGGGCATTGGTCATTCTCTCACTAAACCCCGTGACACATAGTGTAGAGCGGCATCCGTCTGATGCAACAAAGCAGCCCAATCTGGGGAAGGCACTGCTATCCCCCGTGAGGGGAGGGTACTATCAAAGGTATCCTAAATAAAGCTGTGCTCATGAGATCTGCGTGCAGACCGTGTCACGCAGACTGCTAAATATGTGATCGAAATCAGAACACAAGACGCAGTACTCCCTCCCTCTCTCTCTCTCTCTCTCTCTCTCTCTCTTCCTCTTCTTCATCTTATCTACCCCACCCCACAGGCTGCTAGGGTGAGTCTACCCACACTGGCAGCCTGGAATATTCGTCTCCTTTGAGATAATCCAAGGAGCCACCGACCGGAACGAAGGACGGCCCTAGTCGCTCGGGAATTGGCCCGCCACAAAGTGGACATCGTTGCATTCAGCGAGATTCGATTCTCCGAATAGGATTAATTGGAGGAGGTGGGCGCCGGCTACACCTTATTTTGGAGTGACCGCCCCAGGGCAGTGCGATGGGACATGGAGGTCACATTTGCCATCAGAGACAAGATCGTGAGACGACTGTCCTGTCTGCCCCAGGGCATCAACGATCACCTGATAAGCCTGCGTCTGCCTCTTCGGGGATCCAACTTCGTCACCATCATCATTGCTCACGACCCAACAATGATCGTCTCAAGCGAGGCGAAGTCCAAGTTCCACGAAGACCTGCACGCCCTCCTAGCGTCTTTGCTGAAGGCGGATAAGTTGATTGTCGATGATGACCTCAACGCCCGCGTCTAGACAGACTAGGAGAGGAGTGCTGGGTCCTCACGACTCCAATGATAACGGCCTCCTCCTCCTGCTAACCTGCGCTGAAAATCGCCGCCTGCTGACCAACACCTTCTTTCTTCTGCCGATGCGGAGGAAGGCCACCTGGACGCACCCCCGATCGCGCCGCTGGCAGCCGATGGATCATGTTCACGGTCAGAGGCGAGATAGGCTGGACGTGATGGTGACCAAGGCGATATGTGACTCTGATGGCTGAACGGATCATCGCTTCGTCATCTCCAAGGTGAGGCTCCGTCTTCAACCTCGCAGAAGACCTCAAGGCAAGCGACCACAAGGTAAGCTGAATGCTACTGTACAGTCTATGTCTGCTCACCATTTGCATTTCAATAATCAACTGACTTAGCGGCTGGAAGAACTACCGCAGCAGATGAAAAAGCCTCCGTGGAGATTCGATGATGCCAACTACGGGACGCCGTTCATTCGACCGCCCTGGCTGTCCTCGGCCGTATGCGTCGTCAGCACCAGGACTGGTTCGATGGCAACGACACAGCCATCGGTAACCTGCTTGCCGAGAAGAACATGCTGCACAGAGTCTACCTCGACCGTCCAACCGACGCGAACAAAGCGGCCTCCTGCCGATGTCGCCGCCTTGCGCAGCAATGGTTGCGAAAAATACAAGATGCCTGGATGGCTCGCAAGGCCGCGGAGATTCGAGGATAAAACGAACGCAACTAATCAAATAACTTCTTCGTTGCGATCAAGGCGATCTATGGCCCACCAACCAAACGAACCGCACCGCTTCTGAGATAGGATGGGTCGAAGCTTTTGACGGAGAAGTAGTTGATTCTAACTTGCCGATACAAACGAAGATGCGAGTTCCAGGGACCAGTTGACAAGAAGAAGAAGAAGAAGAAGAAGAAGAAGAAGAAGAAGAAGAAGAAGAAGAAGAAGAAGAAGAAGAAGAAGAAGAAGCGATCTCTGAAACAACGGCTTTATTCGCCTGACGTTTCAGATTCTCACTTGAATCCATCATCAGGGGCAATGACAGAAAAGGGTGATTCGTGCACAGGAAGTTGCAGTATTTATAGGATGCGGTCGCTATGCCACCGCATACCTATAGCAATTAACCGCGCTCTCCTTCATCAAGGATTGTTGCCCGCTGGTGCGCTAATGGCTTGATGGCCGGCACGCAAGTGGCTAATTGCTGAAATCTCATCACCCGTGTTGGATTCTGGCGTGATGATTGTTCGGCCATCTTGCTCACCGGCTTGCACGCTCCCTGAGTGGTCAATTACTTTGGCCAGTCTATGCCTCAGCACGGAATATGGAGTGGGGATGTCGTTGCACCTGTTAATAGACTGAGGTCCCGTTAACCATGACTCAAGCAACTCGCGGCTCACGCAATTATCCCCTCTCGCGAGAATTTCGGCCTCATCGAACTTGAATGTGTGGCTGGGTCTCGTCGAATGGGCCGCGACCAGAGAGTTGGCGTCATTTCTCCGCACCTCTGTCGCGTGTTAGACAATTCGCGTCCGGAGCAGTCTTCCAGTTTCTCCGACGCAGTTGCTTTGTCCGCAACAGCACCAGATCCGGTAAATGACTCCAGATGCCTCTTGCCGTGCCAGTGGGTCTTTTGGTCTCATCACCTGACGCCTTATGGCGGCCTCCAGTCTGTGTGCAACTCCAGCCCCGAGTGGTGCGAGAAGGCGACTAATGGCCTCGGAGACGTTCTTGCTGTACGGGATTGCTCGCCAGAATTTGGGGTCGGCACGATTTTGTCGCTCGTCTCGTTTGCGCATGCATCGGTGAAGGAAGGGAACACCAATGGGCTCGTCGATTTCGTGATTCATCGCCGAGGCGGTCCTACAGCGGTTGGAGTCGCTGATCTTCCAACACCACAGACCGAAATTCTGGGCTCGGTATGTGGACGATACCGTCGTCATCGTACCGTGCCTCAGCTCCACGACGGAGAATGGTGCGCGTCACGGTCAGCGGCACAATACCTAAGGCACTCGCAGTGACCAGTGGAGTGAGGCAGGGCTGCGTACTTGCGTCCACCCTCTTTAGCCTCATGTTCTATGTCGTGCTGATGGACGCCTACCGTGATGAGCGACCGGGGATCCGCATCGACTACAGGACCGACGGGTACCTTCCCAATAGCCGGCGCATTCAAGCCCGGACGCGCTTCTCCGCATCTACTATCTACGATCTGCTCTTGGCTGACGACTGCGCGCTCAACCGCAGGACGGAAGGAGACATGTAACGGGGCATAGACCTCTTCGCCTCCGACCGAGCTCACTTTGGATTGGCCATCGATACGAACAAGACGGGGATCATGCGTCAACAATCCTCGAACGCTAAATACAGTGTCCTTCTCATCCGTCTTGACGACACCGAAATGAGGCCCGTGGATAGCCTCAACTACCTAGGCAACACAGCGTCAGGCTGCATCAGAATGGACGATGAAGTGGTTCACTGGATCTCCAAAGCTTGCCAAGCCTTCGGCCGGCTACAGAACTCCGTTCGAAGTCGCCACGGTCTACATCTGAATACAGGCTGAAGGCCAACAAGGCCGTCCTTCTGACAAAAATTGGTTTGGGAGCGGAGACCTGGATAGTCTACTGCAGCCATGCCATGAAGCTCAAGAACTTCCATCTCAGTTGCTTTCACATAAGACTGAGATGGCACGACAGGATCCTCGACACGAAAGTCCTAGAACGGACCGGAATCCTCAGCATCCACGGCATGCTGAGGTAACTGTAACTATGTTGGAACGGCCGCCTCGTGAGGATTGGAGATACAGGTCAACCGAAACAACTCTTCTATGGCGATGTCGCGACCGGTGCTCGCCGATCGGGGGGCCCAAAACGACGCTAATAGGACAAATTGAAAAATCCTCTTAAGCTAGTGTATGCACATCTAGAGAACTGAAAGGACCTAGCCCAGGACAGACCGGTCTGGAGAAGAGAAGCAAAAACTAATATAGCCATGTACGGAGCAAATCGGATTGCCCCGCCGAAGCCAAATGGGAGGTTCGCAAATCACAAGTGCCTCGCCTCCTCAATACCAACCACCCGCCTCTTCCAACATGCCAGCGCTGCCAACGCTCATTCCGCTCATCTCGTTGGACACCTTAGGACCCGCAACATCAACCCGACAACGTCTACCTACTCTCCTACTCTCATCCCTGCCGCAAGTCCCGCGCCGAACGCCACTCCTGTCACCGCCGATCACTATGTCTTTACCCCGCCGCCACCATCCGCCCTGCCCCAACCCCTACATCGAACGCAGCGGCCATTATTGCCACAGTCACGACTTTATGCACTTCTCCCACCGATGAGACGACGTCTGATGTCCCGTCACATTCTACCATCACCCCCAACGCTCCCACTTCCAGCAATGTGAACTCGGTTCATACCTGTCCCCATTGCGATCGCACATTCATTTCACATATCGGTCTGGTCGGTCAACTGCGAACCCATCGCGTAGAGGGTGGAGAACCAGTGCCTGGAGCACCAATCTACACTCTCCTCGCCCGCCTAAACTGCCCTCACTGTCCCTGAGGCTCAAGGCAGATCTAAGACATATGACCAAGCATGACTCTAGTCGTCTCATCCAGCAGCACGTTGGTGAGTAGTTTCTGCATCCTCAATACACCCATATGTTCATTCGTTCATTGAGGTTCTACAACAGGACATTGACGGAAGTAAAATTATCTTTCAGCATATACGCGATGA